GAGATAGATGTTCTTATCATTGTACACATGAGTTAATTAATGGTTAAGGAAATTCTCAAGATTAAATAATAATAATAATAATAATAATAATAATAGCAATTACACGTAATTATTATGTGCCAGACACTAAGTATTCTTTATTCTTTCTTTCTTTTTTTTCCATTTCTTGCTTTCCTCATTTTTCCTTCTCATTTTCTTCTTTCCTTCTGCCTTTCTTTCTTCCTTTCTTTTTCTTCCTTTCTGTTTCCTTCCCTCCCTCCTTCCTTCCTTCCTTCTTTTCTTCCTTCTGGTAATGGGGACTGAACTCAGAGCCTTGGTACTGTGTTACATCCCCAGTCTTTTTTTCTTTCCTTCTTTCTCTCTTTCTTTCTTTTCTTTTCTTTTCTTTCTTTCTTTTTTTTTTTTTTTTCTTAGTTTGAGACAAGCTCTCACTCAGTCACTGAACTGCCCAGGCTGATCTCAGTCCAACTTGCTGGACTCTTGCTCAGCCTCCCACAGTGCCCAGGGATGTACCACCGCACCCAGCTTACATTTTTTAAAACAATCCTATGAGGTAAGAATACTGTTATCCCCATTTTAAGGTGTTAAAAACTGAAGAACAGATATGTTTTTAAATTTTGCCTCCATATATGAGCAAAAGCGTCACAGCCTGGAGCAGTGAGGGTGCACCTTTCGGAGCTTTCAGTGATCACAAAGAGCCCGCTGCAGCATGTGTCCCACAAGTCCGTTTCCCCTGACCAGACCCTTGAGCTCAGGCCGTCCTCGTTCAGACCGCAGTCTCTGAAGTTTCTGCACTAGAACAAAGCCACAAACAGAAATACACTGCGGGCCACATACATAACTTAAATGTTCTATTATCCATCCAAGTTACAGAGCAAAAAGAAACGAGTAAAATTCCTTTTTAATAGTACATTTTATTTACTCAAATACCCCCAAACATTTAAAAACTATTAATTACATATTTTACACCCTTTTTATGCGAAATATTCTCTTCTAAATCCAGCGTATATTTTTAAGCTTAAAGCATATTTTAACTCAAACACTAAGTTTGCATCATAAATGCCTGATCTGTATTTATATTTCACATAACTTGTAGTTGAAAGAGTAGATTCGCATGCCCAGTTTGTTCCAAATATACTTAACAGTCTTCCAATAACTGAATTGAGTACCAAAAATAATTTTCTTGTCTTAATATTTGTCACCCAAATCTAATTATTTCAGAATTGGCTTGACTTTGAAGCCAAACTCTATCAGTGGAAAACTGTATTTAAATAATTCACTATCTTTTGGATCAAGTCAGTATTAACACTGAATTCAAGGGAGTGTCACATAAGCCAAAAAGCAACAATAAATTCATCAATACTGTATGACTAAAGCGTCCTTCCTACTTTTTTGTCTTTGCATCTAATTTGCATCATGCTCCTGATTGCAGTGAAAACTTGCAAATTAATTTGTGTTTTAAAGATGTATACAGGGGCCGGGGAGATGGCTCTTTAGGATAAGCGCTTGACTGGCAAACGCAAGGATCTGAGTTCAATCCCCGGTTCTGCCAAAAAAATTAAAATAAAATAAAATAAAATAAAATAAAATAAAATAAAGATGTATACAAATGGGGCCAGGGATATAGCTCAGCAGTGCAGCGCCTGCCTAGCAAGCACGAAGCCCTGAGTTCAATTCCCGGTAACAAAAGAAGAAACAAAAAATAAAATGTGTAAAATTGTTAGCAATTTATATTATTTTGAAGTTTCAATTTCAACAAAAATCCTCGCACTGGTCAAGCTAGGTGACAGGCTTTTCCTTCCCTTAGAGCTTCAAATTTAGCTCATCCCTATGCAGCGTGAGACTAGTAAGAAAACGTAACTCACACTGCTGCCTCTGGTTATTGAATATTTGGCAAATATTCCCTTTGCTTGAAGACAATCTTAAATAAGAATTAACAGTATAATAAAACCATCGAAATCCCTCACTACTTAGCCACTGAACACTGGGGAAGAGCACAAAGTCGTTACATTAATGTGCTTCTGTTTCCTTTAACAGTTCCACAAGAGGATGATTCAGAGCACTTGCATGCTGAGACAACATTTTAACAACCACATCTAGAACACTGCTTAAAATCGCAATATCTTCAGTGTGAATCATTTAAGAGGATCAAAGCAATAGAGGGTTTTTTGTTGTTGTTGGGGGGGTTTGGCTTTAAAAATTATAATAAATCCAGACTTTCAACAGTCAGAGTGCCCTTCCTTATGACAGAAACTATATTTTTTCATATTTGTTTCTTTTGTGTGTGTGTGTGTGTGTGTGTGTGTGGTACCAAGAATCGAACTCAGGACCTTGCCCTTGCCAGGCAAGCACTTATTCTACTGAGAGCTGTCTCTCCAGCCCACCATTTTTCCATATTTGGCTTAAGGTTTTGACTGATGAGAAAGAAAATGTCTACACAGATAAATTCAATTTTTATTTTACTTTTTAAATGTATTTGGTACAGGGTCTCACTATGCAGCTTGGACTCATAGTGATCTTCCTGGTTTCAGCCTCCCCAGCACTGGGATTACAGGCGTGTGCCACCATGCCCGGGCTTGGTGGCCAGTTTGGCATGCCTGCGGGTGGGGCCAGCGCAGCACGCAGTGCTGGGGATCAAACCTGGGTTCTTGTGCTTGCCTAGGCAACACTTAGTCCACTGAACTATCTCCACAGCCCTGGATTCAGTTTTTAGGTTGCAAAACAACAATACTTTTTGAGAAAATTAATATGAAAAAAAGCATTTCTGGATAAAACACACTCTAAGTATTACTTGAACAGTGTCTCTTACAGTACAGTGAGCTGAGGAAAGCCCTTACAAGCTTTCAAACCTTGAGTCAACTGAACTTTGAGACAGTCAGGAAGGCTTTGCATTCCACCGGCAATCACTGGCTGCTTAAGTGAGGAGCATTCAGTTTTCACTTTTGGCTTTATTGAGGTATGATTGGCAAATACAAATCATATATGCTCAACATGTGTTTTGTGATGGTTTGATATACACTGTGAAATGATTACCAAATAAGTAACATATTCATCACCTAGCGAACCAGCCCTGGCTGTGAGTGAGTGTGCAAGTGTGCTTGTGTGTGGTAAGAAGCTGTTCTATGAGCAAATTTCAAATATAAAATACATTACTACATTATACTATTACATTATAGTCATCCTGTGATACATCATATCTCCAGAATTTAATCCTCTTATACATGAAAGTCTGTGTCTTCCCACCAGCATCTCTCCATCTCTTTTACCTCATAATCCTTAGTAATTACCCTTCTCTTCTGTTCTCTGAGTTTAACTTTTTTAGATTCCACATATAAGTGAGATCATGCAGTATTTGTCTTTGTGTGTCTAGCTAATTTCACTCAGCATAGTGTTCTCTAACTTAGCAAATGGCAGGATTTCCTTCTCTTTTCAGGCTGGAGTACATGTATATATTTGATATGGCATGTGCTCACACTTTCTTTACCCAGTCATCCATCGACGAGCGTTAGGCTCTTTCTATATCTTGTCTATTATGAATAATGCTGCAATGAACCATGTCCAGATAGCTCTTCAAGATAGCGTTTCATGTCCTTTGGATACATACCCAGGAGAGAGATTGCCGGGCCATATGGTAGTTCTGCTTTTAATTTTTTGAGGAAACTCCAAACTGTTTTCCATAATGGCTGTGCCAAGCTTTCACTATTTGTAAAATATCTTTCAAATTTTTTTCTTATACTTTTCCAACAAAATTTCCATAACTAAAATAGTAATTTCTTTGACTACTTCTCCATTTAAAACTGGTTGTCTTGTTTTATATATAAAAATCCAACTTTTCTTATATATAGCTCATCAACATTATAAGCTCAGATCCTGCTCAAATTTAAAAATATATATGTGTTGGGTACCTAATTCTCATTGCAGGCAACTAATACTGATTCTTTTAACTATTGATAGGAAACTTCTTATCAAATTCATTATGTACTTGCTGAAAATATCTCCTGTAGTTAGCCACTTTATCTCTAATTTAAAAAAAAAAAAATGCCCTTGCCATTTGTCTTAGTCTGTTTGCTGCTGCTGTTAACAGAATATCACAGACTAGGAAATTTATAAAGAAATTTATTTCTCTCATCCACATGGCTGACACTGACAAAGGTTCTACAATCTGAGGTACAGGATCTCAGGATAAATCCTGAGGGGATTTCACTGACCTTCTCAGACCCAA